GTCTCTATCTGTTGCCTCTTCTGTCTCTGTCTTTGTTTGCTTTCTCTTTTTATTTGTCTCTATGGAGACAGAAGAGACAGAGAAGGAGACAGAGAAGGAGAGAGATACGGCAGAGGGAGAGACAGGGCGGGGGAGACAGACGAGGGAAAGGAGACAGGTAACAGACAGAAACAAAACGACAAAGGAGACAGAGAAAGAGAAGGAGACAGATAAGGAGACAGATAAGGAGACAGGAGAGACAGAAAGGAGACAGAGAAGGAGACAGAAGAGACAGAAAGGAGACAGAGAAGGAGACAGAGAACGAGACAAAAGGAGACAGAGAAGGAGACAAAAGGAGACAGAGAAGGAGACAGAGAAGGAGACAGAGAAGGAGACAGAGGGGTCAGCTGGGCCTAAACTAGTAGCGCCGCCTGTCTCCTGCTGCCTGCAGCAGCTAGCTGTGTAGTATCAGTTCTTTATAAGGAGACAAAAAACAAATAAATAAATATAAATATATAAAGTGGAGACAAAAGAGACAAAAAAGGAGACACTGCTGTCTCCTCAAGGGCACAACAAACTGGGGAGGCCGCGCCTCATCGGTGCCACCGGCCACCGCCAACAGCAGCAGCAGCAGCAGCAGCAGCAGCAGCAGCAGCAGCAGCAGCAGCGCTGCAGCAGCAACTATCTTTATGATAAAATAATTTTTTTTGCAAATTAAAATTAATTTAACTTATTTTAATTTAATATAACAAAAAAAGTAATGGAGAGATAGAGGAAAAGAATGTTTGCTGCTGCTGCTGCTGCTGCTGCTGCTGCTGCTGCTGCTGCAGCAACCGCTGCTGCTGCTGCTGCCCAGTGGCCTGTCTGTTGCTGCCTGGTTGGGCCCCTGCTGCTGCTGCAGAGGTCACCTGGGGTGCATCGGGCTGCTGCTGCAGCGTAGTATTCATATTTCTTTATTTGTGTTTTGTTTGTTTGTTATACTAAAGAGACATTTTGCTGCTATTCAGGTGTATAGGCAGCTCAGCTGCAGCAGAAGAAGCAGCAGCAGCAGGGCCTCACGAGGAGACCTGCGGAGACAGCTGGAGCCGTAGGCGGTGCTGTTTACTGTTTTTTTCTCCTTTTTTGTCTCCTTCTTCTTCTTTTTCTCTTTTCTGTCTCTTTTTATCTCTATATAGAGATATATTTAGAGACAAACTGCAGCAGAGGGCTACGCTGGGGTGTATGCACAGACAGCTCGCTGCAGCAGCAGCAGCACGGCGGTGGCAAAGGCTGCACCGCAGCAGCAGCAACAGCAGCAGCAGCAGCAGCAGCAGCAGCAGCAACTGCTGCAGTTTGTCTCCTTTTTCTTATATTCTCTCTCTTTGTTAGTAGATGCCGTAAAGAAGGAGGGCCCATAGACACCGCAGAGCAGCAGCCAGGGGCAGCGAGAAGGAGACAGAGGAACAGAGAAGGAGACAGAAAAGGAGACAGAGAAAGAGAGAAAGAGACAGAAGTAGAAAAAGAGAGACACCAGGGGAGACACCCCAACAAGATGGAGGTCAAGAGGCCCCTCTGGGGTTTATTGTCTCTGCTGCTGTTTGCTGCTGCTGCAGCACCGAAGAAGGGACATTCGGTTACCCTTGCCAGCAGCAGCAGCAGCAGCAGCAGCAGCAGCAGCACAGAACTAGACGCAGAAGGAGACAGTCTCCTTTTTCCTCTCGCTGCAGCAGGAGACAGTCCCCTCGCTGTCCCCTTCTCTTTCGCGGAGACAGCAACGGCCCCAGAGGAGGAGATATCCTCAAGCCAAGAGGAGACAGCTTCTGCAGCAGAAACACCCACCAGCAGCAGCAGCAGCAGCAGCAGCAGCAGCAGCAGCAGCAGGAAGGAGGCAGCAGCG